TGTCGATAGATGAACCCACCGGTGGATACATGGAGATGTTGGAATACCGAAACTCGGCTAGAGGGCATGTAATGGCCCTGGAAGAGGAAAAAGCCATGGAGGGTTATCTGGAAACAATGTTGCAAGGCACCACCCTCAAGCAGAAGGCGTACGGAACTTTGGCGTCGTCTGACGTACAGGCGGAGACGATCGAGCAGTTGGTGAGCCTTCCATGGAAAGCAGTAGTATTGAGGTATTTCGAAGAGGAAATGAGGACTACGCCAAGAATACATGCTCTCGTGGCAGTACCTTACGTAAGGACAGAATTACAACTCAGGCTCGCCTGGTGCATGATGGGACTGACTCGCGAAGAATATGATTCGGGAGAAAGGAAGAGATCAAAGGAGGAAAAAGTTTTCCTTATGACGAATCTGAGGGATCTGATAGTCCAGGAGGGAGCAGCAGTAGCGTGTGCAAAGCGGAGAGACGCTCTCTGTTTCATTCGATTCCTGATAGAGCAGATTTCAGTACCTGCATTAAGCACTTGTGTTAAAATGTTGAAGGAAGGCGATGAGCGAACGAAAGCCATGTTCTTGCTAGCAATGCTGGATATGCAGCAAAGTAAACCGATGAGGGTGAACATGAAAGAACCTGAGGAATTGGAACCCATGAAAAAGATAGACGAGATCAGGAGATTCTCAAACAAGGAGTTGAGGCTCACTAAAGAATCTATGGGAGCATTGCCGAAATCCAGTGAATACTGTGGACCGATCAAGAAGAAGTCGTATAGCTATGTATCCGGGATTATAGGGATAGCGTACAATCCTTTCCTGAGTGAAGACATACGTGATTGCTTCTTTGATTATGAGCAGGCGGTGTTACTAAGATTCTGGACGTCCAGAATTGTGACGACTAAGAGCGTTAACAATCCACAGGCCAAATTGGGATTGGTCTTGGAAGAAGAGGTGACTGCACCTTCAGTACCAAAATCCGACAAGAGAGTGGAATTTGGGTTGGGATTCTCAGATGAATTACTGAGAACGAGCTTGATGGCAGTGTGGGAATTGATGAAGCCATCGTGGTGTCCTAGTCCCAACGCTGACTCAATATTACGGGCGACACAGGACATACAGCGGGAACTGAATGTGGACTGTAACCTGCGTGACCTCAACATCATATATAATGTGATGACAACAGCCTCTAAGAGCAACGGAGAAGATGGAGTGGAGTTGCCTGGCTGGGGACCAGAAGACTGGGTCAAACCTGGTAGCTGTCTGGCGGAAGTCTGTGGACTAGAGGGTCACGTTTGTGGAAGTCTAGACTGTGTGAAAACCCTGGAGAAACAACACAAGCAGTTGACGGTATTGTTTGGAAATGTAGTGATGAAAGCAAAAACGGAAACGGAACTGATAGCAGATTGCCATGGAGGAACCGATGTGAATCTGGTGACAGCACTAGGATTCTACAGCATGTTTGGTTCTTTAGAGTCACTATTGAATCTAGAACAGAAACATGAGATGGTCACAGCCATCAGCGTAGAAGTATTCCCAGGAGTTCTGCAGACTGAGCAGAAGTATATAGGAAAATGGAGGGAAGCAATCGAAACGGAGATGAACATCAGACACAGCGAAACTTATTGTAGACCATCAGGAGCACGATATTTGGTGGGTTCAATGTTGGCTCCAATGTGCAAGAGCAAGTATCCTGTACATTTCGTAGCTGTGGATGTGAAGAGTACAAGAACGATTGTGGATCAAGCCTTTTCAGTGCCGAAGTGCGTGAGGTTGGCAAGAATGTCTGAAAAGTCTTACGAGTTACTGTGTAAGTATTTCTCAGCAGTTCCAGAAAGAACCAAAGAGGAGTTGGAGTCAATACTAGGAAAGAAGTTCATGGGATATGTGAGCGGGAACTTCAGTGACTTTGAAAAACAGAAACAGAGAGGATCAACTGTCACAGATTACAATGCAGTAGATGAGAATGATGAAATCCACCGAGTGATGATGGAAGTGGAGCCATTGCTGGAAGCTTCGGGAAAACGGAATTGGAGGAGCATCATGTTGACACATGACGAGTTTCCTTGCCACTGCTTGCTGCAGACCTGGTGGTATCCCAAGCGTAGTAATCTGGTGTTGATCTGGGACTCTGGAGAGCTGCTCTCCATGGGTTTACCAGATTCATCACAGCCCATGACAATAGTGATAGTGGGAGTTATGATGGCGATACGATGGCTGGAAGCTCATGTGAGAGAAAATAATAGACAGGAGGCACCGACGAGAGAACAATTGCAGAAATTAGATTGTCTAAAAGATTTAGATCTTTTTGAGACAATGTGCAAAGTTCTAAACATTCCGATGGAAGTGAAGAAGATATGGGCAAGAAAACGATTGATGCCATGGTTCAGAGCTAACATGACTGCATGGTTGTACGAGTATGCGAAAAAGCATATGTCGAAACATGGCAGAGTGTACAGTGAATATCAGCTGGACATTGGGGCAGGAGCTTTCAAGCGAGCTTTCGTGACCCATCGGAATGCAGTGACCACCGCTGTGAAAAGAATTTCCAGGACGAGCGAGCGTAGTGGAAATGAGAAGGCAGAGATGCTGAAAGAAGATTTGGAAAGAAACGTGGCGTTGTGTCTCCACAACAGCTTCTGTAGAAACAGAGAATCAAACGTGGATCCCCTACCTTGCTGTAAACAGAGGGTGGAAGAGCAGAAGTGTTGGAGGACGGCTTCCAACAGCGTCAGGATAGCCAATGACGTGCTACAAGACACGGAGACCGAGAGTGCAGAGTCAGCGTCACAGGAGGAGGAAATGGAGCATTGATGAATGGTCGAGAAAACAAGAGGCAACAAGAAAGAAAATTAGAAGAATTTAGAAGTTTTAGAACTTCTAAACGACGAAAAAAGAAGAGAACAAAGGGATAATGAAGAAAAGTTAAAACTCAGAATTGTTTTATGTGTGTGAAAAACTCAAGTGAGAAACCAAGCAACCAAGTTGTAATTGAAGACTGAAACATTTAAGTTGAGTTTGGAAATTGTTGCATTTATAAATTTGCATTTTGGTTTTAGTTGAAGTGGCTTTAGAGACACTCACTTATTATTTATTTAGAAAGGCTTGAGGGAAGAGTATATTTAAATATTCCAGCCTGCATGATTGTTTTTAATCACTTAGGAAGACTGATAACTTTGTGGTGACATGAAAAACTTGAGTAACTTCTTGAGGAGGGAGGTTGTTGCATTGTTCTTTCTAACCACAAAGTTTCTTAGTTTTAATATTCAGGACAATAAACAAGCAAGATTTCCGAAGGGAAGGAGCATAGTAGGATAATTTTAGCTTGTTGGTTGGCAGGACTGTCCTGCAAGCCAACACCTTTTAAATCCAGGAGAAAAAGTTTCAATCGGGATATTGACACTGGAAGTCAGAAAATATGTTTTATCTTAAGTCATATCCTCAATGTGCAGATTAATGAAAGAATTTGAAGGCTATAGTGATGTAGTATGATGCCATTTATATTCTGCAGTGAGTCGATGTGACGTAGGTAAAAGTAATTTCGTGCATTTTGTAAATTCTGTTCGATGACACTGTAACCACTTAGAACATTGCGTGATTCAATGAGGACATTGACCGGACTGTCCGGGGAGTATGTGACATTCGACCAGAATGGCCAAAATGCAGTCTCTGCAGAATTCGGTATTTTAGCAGCAAGCCTTCCGAATTGGCGATTTAGAACGGATAAGGACGTTAATTGAACGATTAGCCAAACGGTGAAGGCTAGAAGATTCTGGAATTCTAATTTTTAAAAATTCGAATTATGACGTCATATTTCTGAGAAACGTCAGAGACGGCCATTTTAGCTAAAATAGAAGAAAGAACAGAACAACTTTATCTGCGATTGCGAACAGTACGAAAATCGAGATTGGAAAACGACAACGAACTACAGAATAGCAGAGAACGTTCCGAGTTGCAACTATTGTGCTGCTACAATAGTTGCAAGGCCGTTGCGAACAACGGTGAAGGGTAAAGACCAGCCCTCCGAGTTAGCGTGAACCTGAGGTTAAGGAGCTTGATTCGCCGGATTCAAGAATCCGGAAGGGTCTCGGGACGGGAACTTTTATGAACTTGTATTGAATTTTAGCATCCTGTCATGTCCTGAATTGAATTTAATTAACAACTGGATTCATTTTGATAAGGATGAGAAGCTAGGAGTTGGGGGAAAGGGTTGATCCATCTTCGATGGAGATGATGATTTTTATCTACTGAACAAAAACAATAGTAATATAATAAGTAGTAGCCCTGTTTTTAGGAGTGACCTCGTGGTCTGGGGATACTGAGACCCAGCCATGAGCTCACTAATTTTGCATGTAATTCAGTTAATTTGAGCGTTCTGGTCGAAGCCGGAGAACAGTAACGTTTTTGTCAGCCTGATGTAGGAAAGACCACCGAAAAGTACTGGCTTGGTAGAGACGGTGAAAAACATGCAAAGCTCTGTTTAGACGCTAGCCAGTCGTCTTAAGACTTAGTTTTGTTATCCGTCGATATGTATCTTCCGGGCGAATGTTACATAAGTTAAATTTTAAAATCGAATTACAAAAATCAAAAACAAGGAACAATCTCACCCGAGTTCAGTAGGTCCAGCGGTGCACCACCAGACTCTTCAAGCCAGTTCCAGTTTCGCACCTCCCCACAGAAAGCCACTTGACAGACCTGTCTCTAAAATCCCTCAGAGGGCGCTCCACAAACATCAAACATAACAAATCTATTTAATAAGTTTATCACAACAATTAGGCTAAAAGCAATGACTGTGCTTGGTTATCACAACTTACCAAGTAATGACTATGTGCTTGGTAAGTCGTTGATACCAAATATTTATAGTATGATAGAGGGTATTTCTGATCATTTGCTCTTGGTCTATGTAAAAGCTTTTCTGAATTTCGAAGGAAATTTTCAACATGGACATTGGAAACAAGTATTTTAGAGTGGCAAATCTTGAGTTTGCGCTTATTTTTTGTCCACTAGTGTATTTTAAATTGTTTTATAGGTCTTTAAAATGTCTGGTGGTAAGTGCTTGAAACTGAAGGGAAATGAACTGGAGAAAGTAGATTTTGTCAAACCACAGCTGACCAAAAGCTCCGAAGTCCTCATTGAGGTTCTTCGCGCTGGAGTGTGCGGAACCGATCTTCATATTCTTGAGGGAAGTTTCGGCGCTAACCAGGGTGTTATAATGGGCCACGAATGTGTCGGGAAGGTTGCTGAAGTTGGCTCGGAAGTGACAGAGTGCAAAGTGGGAGATGTTGTGGTTGTCAATCCTCACGGTGCGTGTGGAGATTGCTATTATTGCCACCGAGATTGTCCTCATTTCTGCATGAAGCAGGCACTGGATGCATCTCTTGGAATGCGAAGAGATGGAGCGTTTGCGCCGTATACTATTGCGCCAGGAAAGAGTTGCTATGTGCTGCCTCCTAAAGTTAGTATTTTAATTGATAACCATTGCTTTATTGTTTCGACCATTGAAGAAATGGAGTACTTTTGTTTTTGAGTGTTCTAGTTTTTTTTGTTATCCACGCAAAATGAGTTACCACAAATAAGAATCGGAATGAGTCGAGTGATATATCAAATTGAAGCCCTTTCAGTCGTGGCTCGAACTACATTAGCCAATGACATGGTCGGAATGTTCTGTGCTGCTTGCACAGCAACGAGCTATCCTTTTTTAAGCTATCAGTTTGAGTCAATTCATGGTAATCCAGGGAAATTACCTTTTCTGTTGTGTGAAGGCTTCTGAGATATTAGAGGCAAGAATGTATAAACAAGATAAGGAGAAGATTGTTGGCAGCAATGGGTTTTGAGCAATCGGTTCTACTTTAATTTTGTGTTCTTCTGAAGTGCTTGTTTGTGTATAGTAATTTCTATCTTGATTGCTCGCAAGCTAAAAAGTTTACAATTTAGGTAACATTGGAAGATGCGATCCTGGTTGAGCCCTATTCTTGCATCATGCACGCGATTGATCAAGGTTCCCCGATCAAGGAAGACCAGGATATCCTAGTCATGGGAGCAGGCATCATTGGACTGCTTGCTACTATTCTACTGGCCTCGAAGAAGATCAGAAACATAACTGTGATGGAGTTGAGTGATCATAGAAGGGAGACGGTTCAGAAAATGAAGTTGCCTGGAGTCAGAGCTGTGCATCCCGCTGATGTAAGTGTGTGTCGCCTTCTGCTTCATATACAAAGTTATGATAAAAACATAATCTTCTTATAGAAAGAGCCAATCTTGTTCATATGGATAGAGATACTATATTAATTAAAATTAAAATGGGTTCAATGCAATTTTGATACTGTAGATTACTATTAAAAACAGTTCTGTTTGAAAAAATTGCTGTTGCCTGAATTTCCTTTCCAAAAATGCCATAATCTGAATTTTCGTATCTGTTTTTGGATCAACCGTACTATTGCCCCCCTAATCGATTTAGAGGGGGATAAAATACTGGTTTGTCATACGTCAGATTTGAGGGCAAACTAAATTGATCGAAGTAATCGAAAAAATAATTCTTAAATAACTCAATAATAATTTGGTTAATGAATAGTATCAAGCAATCTATTCTGCGCTTTTGTTTGAAATGAATTTTTTATACGAAATCAATTTTCAAAATTAATACGTGGCTAGGGGGGAGATTCTACGGTAGGTTACTTTGAGGGGGATTGTACACGGTTGATCACTGTTTTCAAACGCATGAAAGACGCACAGATTTTTTAAACTATTATATGTACTTGAGGGCAAACACTTTTCTTATGTCCCTGAACGTAGTGGTTGCAATGTTATTTGTCCTGATGATTTTTCTGGAAAGTAAAACTTTCATCACGCTCAAATCTGAGTTTTGGTGGTTTGACTTTTTAAGTCTAATTAAACTTGCGAACTTTAGTGAGGTCGTGTTATAACGTCTATTCTTTTTTCTAATCTAAGTCGCAAATATTGGTGCCATTCTTGGAGCACCTTTACAGTTTTTTCTAAGCATGTGGTTTGACATTTTGCCTAATTGTTATGATAAACTTATTAAATGGATTTTGTGTGGTGCGCCGGTACAGCATTTGTCCCCCCGGGGTTTTCAGAAAATCAGGCAAATTTCGACAAACTTAATGACCTTAAAATACGCAAAGCCGCAATGAAATGAGCTTTAAAGCATCTTCTTGTTGCCTCTGCAAAAGCATTGCAAAATTACCAATCGGAATCGCCACCAAGAAACTTGACTTCTTAGACAGCTATACGCATGTCGCCTTATAGTGCTTGACAAAAACACCGGAGTACGACCAATTGGTGGCGGGTAATCGGATTCTGCCTTATACGATGCTTACAAAAAGATCTCAGGCTTCTTGGCGGAAATACTCAGCTCTGCTTAGGTCAAAAATCTGGTATCGCATACACATTTTTTTCAGTCAAAAAAACTGTCATTAAGGGACAATCACAAGCACTGCTTTTATAATAGATGCAAAAAGGCTTTTAAATCGCAACCTCGCACTGTAAAAAAATCGAAAAACTGTGCCCGCAATATCTTACGCCATAGACAGCTCATACTAACCCTCATGCTTCTTTATTGTGTTTAATGTCCCAAGAAGGCTCAACGCAAGGATGTCTTTTAGCAATCACGATGTATGGGGTATCAATCTTACCACTGATCAGACTCGTATCTCCTGAATCAGTTACTCATAAAATGGTATGCTGATGATGGAAACGCAGTAGGAAGCATTGAAATGCTTAAAAAGCTGCTGATGATCCTTACACAGCGTAGCGCAGCTTCTGGATATCATGAAGTAAAATGCTACTCAATAAAAAAACGCAGCTTTAGTGAATCTGCTAAAAAAAATATTTTCCTTTCTAATTAGAGAAGGCGGCCTGCCTGAATCTGCTGTCACTGATGATCGTGAATATGAATATGATTACTTGAGATCTCAAGCTGTTAGCGATTCAGTTTCAGTGAACGAATATATAGAATTAGGTACGAGTATACAAAAAAAATTGATAGGTGATATGAAAAACGAAAAATTGAAGATGTTGAAATTGAAGAGCAATTGAAAAGCAAATTAACTGTCAAGGAAATTAAAACTCTTAATTTAGCCTCGGACAAAGGCTCATCGAGTTGGCTCAATGCACTCCCACTGAATTATTTCAACTTTAATTTGACGAAATCTGAATTCAGAGATGGTATATCACACAGATACGGAAGGAATCTAAAAATATCCCAATGGCATGTGCATGTGGCGAACAGTTCACAATCGCAAATTCTTTTCACTGTCCTAAAGGAGGCTACATCATCATCAGCCACAAGGAGATACGAGATAGATTTACTAAACGTCGTATGTTATGGCGTTGAAATTGAACCCAGCCATCAGCCGTTACCAGGTTAGTCCTACGGTAAAAAATCAATGATCACTGAAGATGAGGCAAAATTAGGCATCGAAGCAAACGGTCTATGGGAGCCCTGATTTAAAAAGACATATTTTGATGTTGAAGTATTCAATCGTGTATTCAAAATTTTTCGAAAACTATAAAATATTCATATGGTTATCATGAAAATCTGAATAAACTCAAATATGAATAAAGAATCGTCAAAGTCGAGAATGCCACCTCCAACCCATTAATTTCTGAATGTACTGATGGAACGGAACCTTCTGTCACCAAAGTTATAATAGGAATTGCCTCCAAATAAAGCACCAAGAGATACGACTCCTACGCAGATGCAATCATCTTTATCACAACCAAAATAAGTTTTGCACTCCTATGAAACACAATTTTATGTATCAGACGGTCGAGATCTCTAAAATCAAATTTTTATTCAACTGACTCGTCAATAAATGCAATGCTCGAGGAGGGAAGGCTGTGATGACGCGGCTATCCCGACCTCACTGGAACATGTGGTTAGAGTACTCAGCATCTTTCAACTCAACCCCCTGAGTCATCCGATATATCAATTTTATTTGCATAAATTTATTTTTTATTACGTTGAAACACATCCCTTGTTTTTGCAGATGTATAATGAATTTTTTATATATACTTACAATAACGATGCCTATTTGTTTTTTTTCTTTCTGTGGCTACATGCATGTTGTCTGACATGCGTTAAAATGTACCGTGACTTTCTGACTATTCATGTTCTGATTTTAAGTTTTCTTATTTGACATTCGATTGGTTATAAGGCAACACAGTTGATGCAGTTCTCATTGTCCAAATGAACCGAAAAAAGCTATTTGTTTCAAATATCAGCATAATAATACTATTTCGATTTCAGAAATTTTGCAACTCAATATTTCTCGCAATTTAATTACAAAGTTTTCGTACTAATTACAAGGTTTTCGTACAAAGTGGTTCAAAGTATAATTCGTATTGTCCATTTTGATTTGTTTTTGTTTGAGTCTACTTTTTAGGACATGATTTGTCATTCTTTGGAGCTACCCTAAATTTTTGTTAAAAAACCCACTAAAGTTTTGTTTGGTTTTTTATTTCTTGTCGAATTTAAATTTGCATGTTTTTACACTTCCGAGCGTTAGTATATTTGTAAGATTCTTCTTTTTTTTTCTAAGCTAATTCACACGGAAAAGTGTTCGTTAAAATGTTCATTCATTTGGCTAATGCTTTTAACACTATCTGTAGCATTGTAAACTTCATAGCATCTGTTCTGTTTTGTTTGTCTAGTGTTTGTTAACTGCTTAGCGTCCATGGCTAGTGTGTGAAACTCATAGTATCTAGGTCGCAGGATCGATTCCGACACGTAGCCGAAATAATTCGAGGCTTATTTTTACTTATTTTTTGCACTATAGAGCCCTTGTGACGGGATGCTAGGTTTGGACTAGTGGCTGGCAATTGCGTGTTTGTGCCAACAATTCTAAAAAGCTGAACAAGATCGGTTTTTTGATGAGGTTCGAATCGAAAATTGAACGATCATTGCTATGAGATAGTGCATAATATTTTATCTTGTCTGGGGTACCAGCTCTAAATGTCTAAGAATTCCGACTTTTTCATTCAGATCACTTCAATTTAATTATCATGCCCTTGAGTTTACTCATTTTTAGTTTCAATCTTTTTAGCAATAGGAAAGACTGGAAAGCCTACATTTTTTTTCTCTTTTTGTTTTTTGACTGGTCCAATTCAAAATTAGCGTACATTTTTTTGCTTGAAATGGCAAAGATTTGACGGTTTGATCTTTGTTACTACCGACGTCGCTACTGAAGCAAGTTTTTTTTTTATTATGGATTAAAATGACGTTAAGTTATAGAAATGGCGTTGAATTGTCGTGGTTGTAGGTTGCTTAGGTATTAAATGTCACGGGGCTAAATTGTACGGCATTAATTTCTCCTGGAGCTAAAAAGGTAGGAACCAAAACTGCGTGATATTTTCAGCTAGTGTTCTAGCTCGAACTAATTTCAATTCAAACTTTCTAAGAAAGGATGAAGTTTTTGTTCTGTGTTTATTTTTTTTAGAAAATTTCGAAGCTTTAACCGATAATTTTAAATCAGAGTTTGAAAAATGGTTTCCTTTTGGTTTTCTTTTCCCGTCAGCTCGTCATTTGTTTGTTTGTATGGCGGTTTCCTACAACTTCCTTTTTTGTTTTCCAGATTCTTACCGCTTCGCCTCTGTTTTGTAAATTTGATTTACAGAGGTGATACATTTCAGTTAGGTACGTCATTGTAATATTTTATTCGCTTTTTCGACTAGCTTGGTTCCGTACAAGTTTCATTTGGATTTTTGCTTACGCCTCGAAAACAAAAATTAAATCGTTCATTGTTTCAAGATCGGCAAGGAGAAAGAAGCTGCCGGCACGGATCCGACTTACGGCTACGACCGTGCGTTTGACTTCACCGGCGCCCCTCCTGCAATCCAAGCTGGCTTCGAAAACCTGAGAAAGAAGGGCAAACTTGTCCTTTTTGGAGTTGTGAAGAAAGAAGCTGAGTGCAAATTGCACCTGCATGATATTCTCATGAAGGAAGTTGAAATCACGGGAGCGCTGACTAACCCTGGATCCCTCAATCCGGCCCTGGAAGCAATTGCGGATCTCTCTCAGAAGAAGCTTCTGGATCTGGACTTCCTGGATATAAAGACGTTCCCTCTGAGCGAATACCAGGATGCGTTTGACAAGCTGAAGAAAGGAACCATTGCTAAAGCGATGTTTGACCTGACCAAGTAAGCTGAAAATGCTGAATTGAATAAAGCTGCTGAGGCTGCTTCGAAATTGTAGATCAAACTAGCAACTTCCATAAAACAAAATTTATCTTGTGTTCGAAAGAAAGTTTTTCAAAATTGTCAGTGCCCTAATTTAGGGGTTTTTCCATCTGAATGACTTGAATTTTTATATCTATTCGGAATAAAAATTAAAGGAATTTGCAAGGTTGATCTCGATTTTTTCGACAAAATAGTTGTATAGCAAATTAATGTTGCATATAGGACTTCAGATTCTACACTTAAGCACTTATTGACCGTCATTTTAATCTTTGTTTATCGGCAATTTTTAGTAACCAATTCAAGTGATAACTAAGCCTAATTATCTGTAAAGGAAGTGTTGATAGCTGTTTTTATTTTGATTCAAAAGTTTCAAACGGCTGAGATTTTAGAAACATCAAACAAAAAGAACACATTTCTAATGAACAAGTTCTCTCTCGATAAGGAAGGTTCCTCCTTACTGCTGTTAAAAATCAAGACTCTTCATTTTCAAAAAATGGAAAAAAAAATTTAGTTTGTAGTTGTGTAACTAGTGCTTATGAATATTGTCTAAATTTTTGTAGTATCCTTATTTTGATAACACCAATTGAGCTAACCAGTATTGCAATAAATTGAAGTTCTGCGCAATGCTGCCAAGTGCTGTAATAAAAGAAAAATTGCCGTAATACCTAGTTTTAACAAACTTATATACGAACTTTAACTGTTTGTTTTTTAAGCTGTGTTGATTCATTTTTTAGCTTGTCTAGTACAGAAAAAATGTTTCTACTAATTGTTTTCATGAACTGAAAATTGTTTTCAATGACTGTTATTTTTTCAAAAAAGAATCAAGACCTAACTGAAAGTAATATGTCACAGTTGCAAACTGCACTTAATATGCATGAATAGTATTTCGATTGCTATTGTTATACCAATGCAATTTATTGACAATTATGTAACACAAAGTAAATTGAATTCTTCACTTAACACTTTTCGTTTTACTCTGTATCAAGATTGAAGTCGCAAATACAGTGAAAAGTCTGCTAAGAACTGTTTAGCTTGTTGAAATCAATGTACTAAGTGCTTAATGAAGATATGTGTTTTTTGGGATGGTTAAGTTTTTATCGGCTGATTAAGAACGTAGTTCAGACTCATATAGGTCGTGATGATTTTTCTTCAGAAAAATTCTTAAAATTTTTTCACGCTCAAATTTGATTTTTTTGCGGTTTGTTTTTGATTTCTTTTTGTTCAGTTCATTTCTTGTTAAAAGGAACGCAAACTCAGCTGTCAAACAGCGGAATAACAACTTTACCTAATAAATCAGTTTTTACCTTTGGGAAAAGGAAGGTGTTGCAATCGGATATTAGACTTTTTTTTCCTGTAAATCATTTTGTTCGCATGACTCTTTTACCTCTTTTTCCTCGTTGCAAATCCTACTCCAGACTGTAGCAAATAAGCGTTTTTGATTTTACTAAATTTTTAAATACCCGTCCTTTTCGAAATTTGCTTTTTATGTTGGTTGTAATTTAGTTTTTTTTGTCCTTTTTTCAGCTTAAAATAGTTTTCGCCCGATGTTATATCGCCTAGTGGCCTCGTATTGCGCCGTTTGATGACCTAAAAGTTTTCTGTGTGCGTCTGTGTTTTGAGCGAGAGGGAATTTACAAATTTTTTTATTAGTTTCAATTAAAAAAAGTTCGGCTTGGTTAGCGTTAATTTAATATTTCTGCTCAGATATTTTTGGCCTTGTTTTTGCTTGGTAAGTTTTTGGACGCTAATTTTGCATTCATTTGTCTGGGCCTGTGTTTTCTCCAAAACTAGTTTAATATTTTTTGATCAAGTTTGCTGTATAATATTATAATTTCTATATAATTTTTTGGCTGATGTTTTTTCGACTTTGTTGTCAATTAAGCCCTCAGTTTAGTGCTGAAAGTGTATATACTTATTTGGCACTCGGTGATACCATTTGGGCAGTACATGTTTTTTTTGACAAGTTCTTTTGCAGAAATATTTCGGTTGAGTTTCAGCTTATTGGCTGCCGGCTTTAATTCTGTTGGCTTATTTACCAAATATTTTGTTTCCTACAATGTTCCGATTTTTTTTATGAAGTCAATAAAACCCTTGGGCCAATTCTTTGGCTCGTCTTTTAAATCATTGGGAGCTTTTAAAATCACTTAATTTATTTAGAGATAAAAATGACTTTCGATTTTTTTTCTAACGTTTTTCTAGATTTTTTTCGAAGTCACCTTTGCTTGTTCTTGAGCGTCATGCTGTATTTACTCTGTAATTGCTCTATCGCAAGTGGTGCGGTGCTCAGCTTTGCCTCTGTGTCTCAAATTGGATAAGTTTATCAATAAAGTGCCTTTAATAAATTGTTTTTGAAATTCAATGATTATAGTGGTACTCTGGATTCGAAATTGAAGTTCTAGTTTTTTCAGAGCCGGGTGATTTTTTCTTCATAAGCAATAAGCGTTGATTTCTGGTCGGGTGATTCAAGAAAAACATTAATGTTCGTTTGGTCCACGAAATATTTGATCCTAAAATGCTAGGGTGTTGTTTTGTCGCGCGATATGTTCTGTCATCTTTTGACGCGTCAATTGTTAATGAACGAGTTTTTTTTGTCTTATATTGGTCCTGTTTTTCTGCTTTTTGTATATTTTTTCTTGCCTTCAGTGATAATGAAGACATTGATTGTTTCTACATTTTTCTAGGAAATAGTCTTTGAATTTTTCTTTGTTTTTCTATAAGAAGTTTTCAATTTTTTCGAGCTGAAGTTGAATTTTTGCGTTTTGATATTTAATTTCAAATAGAATTCCAGTCTTTGTTAAAAGGAAAGCAAACTCCACAATGGAACAGCAAAACTAAAAGGTCGCGAAAAACGTGAATGACTTCGTTTCATAAATGGTCTTTAGTTCTCAGCAGAATGAAAATTACATTTTGATCCCGTGTTCTCTAAATGGTATAACTTTCCAAAATTATCAATCATAAAAGAGCTTCAACCCGATATATTTTTTCTTCGAAATAGAAAAACCCTTCGGTTGTCTTTGACACTTTTTCCACTGCCTATCGACTTTGTTGCAATAAAACAATTCTTGTGAACATAATTTGAATCATCCTGGAAACATCGAGTCATTCTTGAAACAATCAAATGCCGCCGCACAAAGAAGTTGCAATTTTGAGCTTTCATCAGCTTGAACGTTTAATTCCACGGTGTTAATTAGCCGTCTAATTGTTGGACTCAAAAAGCCAAGCTGTTGGCTATTCCCTCATTTAACTTCCTCCAGACAGGCTTACCAAATATTTCAAGCTGGTTGGATTTTGACTCAGAATCTTGACTCAGCTATAAAATAGAAAGTAACTAATACTTAAATAATGAATGTATTTATTAATGTTATCCTTCATGTTCAAATTTTCTACGGAAAATCTGCTCAAGTTTCATTTTATTTTATTGACTTTTGTGTAGCTGTTAGTACTCAATCGTAGCTTATCTTTGTGTTGTAGAACAAGTCATTGTTCCAATGAAATTTTCCAGTAAATTTTTTTTATTCATCCAGTTTACCCAAATTGGTTTTACAAGAAAAGGCGGCTCTTTTTCCTTCCCCCCCCCCCCCACCTGCAAATTTTTCATTTTGGAATTACTGTTCACTTTGTCCTATTGTCATGAAAAATGACATGCAGACTAATTAGACCATAACAAACATAGTTGGTCTTCATAATTAACCTTGTAAAGCCACTCGTTAGACCATAAAATTCATGTTTGTGTGAGGTGGGGGGGGGGGAAGGAAAAAGAGCCGAAAAGGCCAATCATAAAAGGTTCGTGAAATTCAAAGATATTCAATTTGATATATGTTTCCTTTCAAACTCCAAAATTGAAAAATGTCTTTTTGGGGCCTGCTTGAGCTCACTGAGTTCATAAATTGTCTTGTCTGTATGCTCTGTTGGAAAAGTGGTAATAAACGAGGTCGTTTTCTTTAGCAAGTTAAATAAACTGATTTTTCACGCTTCCGTGTCTTTCAAAAAGGTGCTCAAATCAGTCCTGTCTACGACAGTGAAAGTGGTGCAGCAATGGTTCACAAATAATGCATCTTAAACTAACTCTAGCTTTCTGATTGAGGATTGATATCAGTCATACAAAGGCTCTTAAAGGGAAATTGTTTCTAAGAAAATTGATAGAAAAATTTGTTTCTGAAATGCTTTTTCTTTGTTTCTTTGATTTTTAATTTTTTAACTGTCAGTTGAGTTTGTTTCATTTTTAAGTATGTTTTCTCCAAATTATGCTCTGTAGCTCACATTATTTATTTAACATATTCAGAAGTCGTATCTATTATTTATAATCAGTAAACCATACTGGTGATCGATAAGAAAAAGTTTTTTTTCCTCGATTCGGTTAATTTGTTTTTAGCACTGCCGTTCGCCATTCGAAAACAATCTTGTTGCAATCTTCGTTCAAATCTGTATTATGTCAATCAGCGGCACTGGTTGTTGGGTTAAGTATTCAAAGGTCAACAGATCGAAACTAGCTCATGTTGTATTTATTCTTAGATGTCATACAAGTAACGAAGCTCAATATGATTGGTATAATAACGAGTATTATATTCAACTGGGCAAATATTTCAGTTTAGAGATAAAGATTAAACTAATATACCCGGCTTTCAAATGTCCCTGACAAGTTTTAGCTAGTTAAAAGTGACGTTAAGCTTATCAGGTAATTATGACCGTCAATTGCGTTTGTGACCAAATCAACCTTATGAAGTCAAACAGATGAACAAATAAATATTTCATGTGCCTATCTGCAGTAGTCTTCGGAGCTAGCTATGATATTTTTTAATGTCGTCTTTTTATCCAAATCTTGGATATGTTTAGGTGATACCCACTATCTTTAAACTTAAACGTTTCGAAGCCCCTGACTGTTGTAGTTTTCCTTTGAGGGAATAAGCGTGACGAAAAAACAGCGGGAGTTAATATAACACGAGTTTAATATTTGTAGTTGCACAGTTCTTTGCTTCAGAAAAATATCATCTTAAAGTAAATTTTCATCTGTTTTTCAGATTTTGGATTTGGGTGTTTTTCCACATTAAATCAAGCATCGCACATAAACGTCAGATGAGGTTGACCGATAAATCTTATTGCAAAAATGTGATTATCTGCAAATTTTTAATTGTATTTTTCTCCAACTGTCTGTTCAAATGTTTTTCTGATCGAAAAATTCTATACTGTTTACCTGGTAGCCGGCTATTCTTTTTTAACTGTCCTTTTTCAAAACTCCAATTCTTGAAAACATTTCCACGAATCACTATTTTCATTGATATAAAATGCAAGTGTGTAATTTTATTTGGCGTGGTGTGCTTAATTTAATGTCTACAAATTAGCAAAGCAAACTGCGAGGAAGCTCTGTGAACGATTTAGTTCAGTGGCGATGAACGAAGTGAAGACACTTTTTTGTGTAGCCGTTTTTTGGGTTTTCAGGGAAAAGTTGTTGCTTCTTTAAATAGTTTTTTTAGCGGTTGTACTTTAGGAGTTCGCATCTTAATCATTTCAAATTATGTTGTCTGCTGATGTCATTTATAATTATTCGCAGAGCTTTAAATTAAAGTTTTTCTTCCAAAGCCATTGAAGACTTGCTGACGATGCTGTTTTCTAATGCAGTTTTATTCGGGTTTTTGTTTTGATTTGAATCGTTCGGTTGACATCTACTGACCTAGTTCATATCGAAATTCTGGTGAGATTTTGCTGTGATACACATGGATCAGCTGTTTCAGGTGTAGGATGAGTAAAAATGACTGAAAACATGTCCGAGAACAGCTTTTGACTTGGCTAAGTTGTCCCGGTGAATTAAGATTATCTAGATTATCGCCCATCTATTCCAGCACCGTTTGAGATGAAACATGAAAAAATACTAGTCGCGTGCTGTCAGTTGATGGCTTTCACCATCTTTTTCACCAGGTGAAGATTTCATTGCACTGGTTCTATTCCACGGTTTTTTCAACAGCAC